AATAACCGTGCTATGAAATGCCGCACAACTGGAGAATTTCAAGAACGGATATAACACTTTCCTTAGGTTATTTAAAGCGGCAAATGACCACCAAACCTTAATCTTAGCAGACAAATGTGCCAATGAAAATCGTAAACGTGAATTGTTGGTGAAAATGTTGGACCAAAAAGTTTCAATAAAATATATATAAAAATTTTGGGCGGGACGAAGTTCGCCGGGTCTGCTAGTTGTTTATACGACACATTAAGCGCTTTGACCCAGTTCGCTGTGATTCAAAGCGGATGCATAAAACAAATTTCAATACGCTCTGAATTTCAAAAGTGAATTGACTCGAATTTGATTTCAAATCGGTTTTTTATTTCTCAAATCGGTTAGAAAGCATAGAAGAAATTGACGGCCAAGTCCATCTCGGTGAACGTAAGTTCCGCAGGGCTGCCACTACTGCTGCAGCTCGCTTGATACCGGCAGGATGTATAACGGACCCACGTCCAAACTTCCCTGCCGAAGCGGCTGTTCTAGCCGATGAGCGTGATAGCCTACGTCAGGCCGATCCCGGAGATCCCCGTATCAGGGATCTCAACGCGGAGATTCGGCAACTAGTAAACGTACATAAGCGGAAGAAGTGGGAGGAGCATCTGAAGACCTGTAACTTCACCTCTGGTGTGAGCAAGCTTTGGTCAACCGTGAGGTCACTGTCCAATCCGACGAAGCACGACGACAGAGTCGAAATTTCCTTCAGCGACCATNATGCTGAAAAATTTGGGTCCTTGCGGGGGTAGCGTACCTAACGGAGGTCCTCAATTTGTCAACTTGCTCTACTAAACTATCTTTAGTTTATGTTTTTCCACGGCTCGCACATCTTTACTAATTTTGTTTTAAATAAATACCATGTATTTTTCGATTTGACTTAAATAGGTCATATTCGAAAATTGATAACTTCCAGAACTTAATTCACATCATTGGCTTCAAACCGATTTAAAGTTACCTGTGAATAATTAGTTTTCATAAAAACCCACCAACACTTTACCAAAGGTCCAAAGTAAATGATATAATGAAATAACACTTTGTACAAGCGCTCCTTCCATATTTCTGGGGTCATATGACCCATTGTGAAGTCTGATCGAGTTTTAATGAGACTGGCTCGATTCTGTCATTGCATAGCCTTTTGACAACTGTGTCAACTTCTATAGATTTAGTTGTAAGAGGATATCACCCTATTTCTTTTAAGCTTAAAACTTTTAACGTGGGAGTTGACCGGAGTCCAGTTTTAAACATGTTTTATTAGTCATTATTATTAAATACCACATTTAGTGCGAACATTGGGGTAATGTAAACGGAGCGGTTTTTGTTATAAAATTTATTTAATCTAACAGAGTTTTATATATTATAACTCAATAAGGTTTAAGTCTTGCCATAGCTTGCATTCGCTGAACTGAGGATAACCGTTTTCCAATTCTCTCGCACGATCTTCTTCTGATAAGCCGTTTTTTTCCTAGTTCAGGTAAAGAGCCTTATCCTTAAGCTGGTGCGAAATGATGTCTTTTAATGATTAGCTCACCCCGTTAGTTTAAGCAGAAGGAATCTATTCATTGATTTTTGGAGGATAATTATAAGTTTTTGGTATATTTAATTTTAATTTGATTTTTGATGTCGAAAATTCGGATTTTCAACGAATTTGTTCAACATTATTTTTTCAGCAGCAACTTCCAAAGCGAATAAAACTGTCAAATAAATACTATGAAATTTAAACCTCATAATGGTAGATCTATTGTCTAACGATCTGCATTGCAACTTTTTAATACATTCCAACAATTGCTGTACAGAAATTGCTGGAACGCGTACCGATTTTGAGTGAACGATGCTTTATATGGTTTACAATAATATATGTTTGGTTGACTGTGCATCTCAGAAACGAAATTGTTTTTTTTTAAACCGTCAGATTAAGAAAACCCCTCCAGATAATCGTCAGATTATGGAACAGGACGGCAAGGGCATCGAGATGAACCTTCTGTATGAAAATCTGGCGCGCTCGAGTAAATCCAAATGGCGATTTTTTTTGCATCTTCAAGAAGACGCCAGGAGCTTGCGTCACATCTGAATCGTCACATTATTGAATGGGAGGTTCATTCGGGCGCATTTAATATCACTTGTGAATATCTGACGCGCTCGAGTAAATTTTTTTGTTACCCATCTTTGACCCTTCCGTACGCCAAACCCCACCATGCAAACCGGCAGATTAGCATATTCCCGTCATCAGAAACACGTTTGATTTATTCACTGTTGATATCTGACGCGCTCGAGTAAATCCATGTAACTGTTTTTTTTTTGTTTTTTTTACAGTTTTGGAAGCCTGTAGGTCCTCTACCCATCGCTGGATGGAAAAACATCACATGACCTTTTTTTCTTCATCATCATCATCTTCGAAATCCAATAGGTCAAAATGACGCTCGAGTAAATCCCGATTTAGCATCGTGGGCTCCCCTACTATAAGGTGTTTACCTATTTTCCCAGTGGGGGATTGCAATATGTAAATAAATTAATAACAACTTACGCTTTTTTAACTTCGCTTTCCGTCGCATTTCTCGATATGTCGAGAATTTTATAATAGTCTACCATTGTTTAAAGTTGTTTTTGAACGAAAATCAGAATTTTTAATTGAAATCAAATACCAGTTATTCTTTCAGATATTGATTTGTTCAAGTCCACACTAGATGTATTTCCAACAGACTACGAAGAAATTTCTTCCTAAATTAGTGAGTTATCTGAAAACATAAATAAAATGCTTATATTATTTTCAAGATTTTACCCTTGATTAGATATTATACTATATAACAATATATGTTATGGAGTCGAGCACGTCGATAACGATGTTTTACCTGCAGTTCGTGTGTTCAAATATCTTTGAACATGTCGTCGCCTGGGTAAAAGATTGTCGGTATGTTAATTTCAGCAGGTTGTGGGAAATCGCGATTGAAGTTTGGAATGCAAATTCTAAAAACGCGAAGATAGATTTTCTCCAAAGTCTCTGAAAATGTTACTAGTTCACAAAATTCTCAAATTATTTATTTTTTAATTAGTTTTGAGTTTATGAAGGATTTTCTTTAGTCAAATTTTGTCGTAGGCGTCATTTGTCCAGAATTTGGCAGACATATTGTATGAAATACGACAAAATGTTATAAAAATTCTACCAAATTAACGCCATTTTTAAGATATTGATTAGTTTAATGTGACTGCATCACCAACTAAATTTTTACTAAATTATCGAAAAATTTGCAGTCAATATCTCGGAAACTAAAGGAGATATCTAAAAACTGATAACACCAATCGAAAGACATTATTTCAAAATATATAACTGCATCCAGAACTAAAAATCGTTAAAATGGCGCTTACGACAATCTTTTACCCAGGCGACGATGTGTACAGTAGACCGTTCGTTATTTAAAATTTTTTTCAAATATACAGTTTGCCGGGCAGAAAAAGATGTCTTTTAGTCTAAAAGTAAGCTGTGCAAAATTTTATTCGAATATGATTACTCTAAGTACTTGCGCGTTGCATTTGAAAATTTACATAAAACATATGCAATTAGGGAAAAAAGTTTTTAACAAAATAGTTGAAAATCATGAATTTTATAGTCACTCGCTATGTAAAATAACTCACAGAATCTGAATATGACGTCAAAAATAAAAAAAGTA